GCTGTGATTCCACCTGGAGAACCGGCAGGGGTCGTTCCCTTGTAGGGACACCCCCACCCCGCCCCCATCGCTCCCTTCTCCGCGAATACAGGCTGTGATCCCACCGGGAGAAGCAGCAGGGGTCGTTCCCTTGTAGGGAGACCCCCACCCCACCCCACCCCACCCCAGCATTTCAGTTGGCAGCCCCAGCTGCTGGCTTTGCTTGTTTGGCAGCCCTTCCCGGGAGCGTGGGGCAAGAGAAGGCAGTTGCCCAGAACTCTCCTTGCTGTATCGCCTTTCGGGTTTTCTAGGGCTCCGCTTAATCTCGCTGTCCTTGGTGTTTGTTCTCCCACTTCCAGACTTTTTCCAGGAGCTTCTTGCTGGAGCTGAGCGGTCCCTCCAGGCCATGTTTGCCCGTTCCTATGGGCGCCTTTATGCGCAACATGCCCGCCTCTTCCAGGGATTATTTGTGGAGTTGCAACATCACCTTAAGGGGGCTCGGCCAGGCCTAGATGAGGCCCTGAGTGACTTCTGGTCTCAGCTTTTGGAGCGAATGCTGCCTCTGCTTAACCCCCAGTATAGCTTCCCAGAAGGGTACCTGGAGTGCGTGGGGCGCCAGGTGGAAAGCCTCCATGCCTTTGGAGACAGCCCCCGCCAGCTCCGGGTGCAGGTGAGCCCTGCTCCTGCCAGGACAGCCCTTCATGCCTCAGAAGCTCCCTGTCTGCTTGGCTTGAAGCAGTGCCATTGATAAGGGTGGGAGGGGTGCCAAGATGAGATGCAGCCCTCTCACACTCACAGTTAATACGACACCACAGTGCCCTGATGAAGAGGGCATCAGCCAGAGGAAGTGGGGCCAGAGCTAAAAGGGGAAGGAGTTGCTACACCCCTTTCTCTCTTTACCGTGGTACCATTGAGCCATCAAAATTCCCATCTTTTGATCACGTGATGTCCCAGCCCGTAAGTTAAACCGTCTGAAGGCATCCCTTCAGGTTCTGGAATGTCTAGCACTGGGAATTGTTGGAGGAGACGTGAGCAGCCTCCTCCCCTCTGGACTAGCCAGCCTCTGCCACAGCTGTGCCTGTCCCAGGACTGGCCCTCTCACCCAACCAGGCGTCCCTAGTTCCTTTTGCAACGATCACCTTCCAGCAAGACATCCCTTTGTAAGGATCTTCAGGACCGCTTGATTCCATCACTCCCTCCCCCCCAACGTCTTTCCTTTTTGGTCCCTGGGCTAGTCTTCTACCCATGTGCTGACCCAGCTTGGAGCTTTCTAGCAGCAACTATCTGATCGGACCCTGGGAGGGGAGACGGCCATTTGCCCCAGGGCCGTGCCTGAAGTCTAAATCTCCTCTCTTGGTCCTCTCTTTGTACCAGAGGGGAAAATGCACAGCTCTTTGGCATTTGCAGTTACTGACCCTCACAGTGGCCAGGGCAAGAGCCATTTTGGAGGGGGTTTAAGAGATCAAATGGGTCCTTTAAATGTCTGCACCCATTTTGCCCTGTATACTCCCCCAACACCAAAAGAGGCAAAAAACAAACAAACCCCAACCTCCCCAAAATAACAAAAACCCAAAACCAAATGTTTGGTCCTGCCCACCCTGGGGTCTCCTGGGGCACATGCATGCAATAAACTGTCGACTCTCTGATACAGTCAAGTTAGGGTGCAGCTGCAACGGTGCCTAAAAGTCTATGAACTCTTTTTAATTTTCAATATTTCTGCATAAATATGACCTAAAACGTGATCCCAATTAAATAAATGAGTAAAAAAATTACTATTTGACTCATTTGCTTAATTGGATTCTCTTTATCTAGTTTTAGGACTTGTGTGGAACACGGATCACGTTTTAGGTCAGAAATATTGAAAATTCAAAAGGGTTCACAGACTTTAAGCACCACTGTAGAAAGCCCCTCCTGCAACCTCATATCTTCAACAGAAGGCTCCCTGCTAGATCCGGCCCCCTTACTCCACCCGTGGGTCTGCATCTTGTGGGTAGGCAAGGCTTCACTGACTGCTGGTGTCGGTTTCTGTTCCTTCCCAGGTGTCTCGGGCCTTCCTTGCCGCTCGGGTCTTCGTTCAGGGCCTGGCCACTGGGCGAGATGTTGTTGCCCAGGCGGTTAAGGTGAGTGCCTTTGCAGGTGTGAACCAACCTTCAGGTGTGGCAGGAGGTGGGGCCACTGCCAGAGAGCATCTGGAGACTTAGGAGAGAAGGAACCCTGGCAGCTGATGCGCAGCCAACTCTGTGTGCTTCTCCAAATGCTCTTCTTTCTCGAGGCTCCCTTGTTTGCAAGCAGGTCATTTCTGCAATGCACCAACCTCTTGGATGAGATTCCCCTCCTCCCTTAGAGTTGGAGGTGCTCTCCCAGCCCTTCCTGTCTTATTTTTCACCTTCTTTTTTAGTATATGGCTCCTACTGGGGTTAATTTGTGGCCATGTTAGTTGCAATTCCATAGGAGTCATCCAGACCCTATAGCCTGCAACACTTCTCCCCTCCCCTCTCTAGCAATATCGTATTTGGCTCTGGGCCCTAGAGCGTTATAGAATGAGATGAGCTCATGAGCCCAGATCGGCTGTTTTGGCTCTCTAGTGCAGTGGGAGAAGCCCTTGGGCCCAGACCCCGTCTCCCTGCCTGACTCTTCTTCCCTTCTCCCTTTATGCAGTGGAGCCTGGGCAGGCCCTAAGGCCCCAGAAGGCTGATTCTGGCTCTCCTCTCCTCCCCCACTATGCAGCTGTCTCCCACTGGAGAGTGTCGACGGGCCCACATGCGCCTCTCCTACTGCCCGCTGTGTCGTGGGATTCCAGCCCTCAAGCCTTGCCATGGGTTTTGCCTCAATGTCATGAAGGGCTGCTTGGCGAGCATCACAGAGGTGGACCCCGAATGGGAGCGCTTTCTTGGTGAGCTTGCAGGGCAGAGAGGCCAGACTGGCAGGACTGAAGTTTGAGGTGGGGGCAGATGAGCGTCTCCTAAAAGACAACTCTCCATGAAACAGAGTTTCACAAAGTAAGATGTGATGGGCCTGGGACTGGTGTTGACTTTCTGCTTGTTCCCTCTGGGGTCCATGAAAAGTCATTGCAGGAGGCAGCGTATCGCTAGGAGAACCTTGATGGCAGGTGTGTGGGGCAGTATGTGATACCCTTAAAGCTGTGGCTTCCCCAGTACATGCCTACTGAGGGTGAATGGAGATCTTTTCCTTCCTTTTTTTCCTTTCAAGATGCGCTGACTCAACTGGCAGAACGGCTCACAGGACCCTTCAATTTTGAGTTGGCAGTTGATTCCATTGCACTGAAAATTTCGGAGGCCATAATGTACCTACAGGAACGCAATATGCAGACATCAGCTAAGGTATGTATGGATACTGAGAGAAACTCCAAATTCTGTTTTCCAAGTTCGGCATCTCTTTTCGAAAACAGAATTCCTGCCTGTAATATGTAAGTAAATGCTTGGAAGAGTCCGGTCATCCATAGATGCTCTGTGAATGAACAAGGAGCCCCAGAGGATGAGAATGCCAGCCATGAAATCTCATGTGGGAGCCAAAAATCAGAGGCTTATGCCTTATAATAAATTTGCTGATCTCAGAGGTGCTCCCAGACTCTCTTTGGTTTTTGGCCACCATAGACTAACTATGGTTAGTCTCCTCCCACAATCTCCACCTGGGAGGGGGCTCACAGAAGGCCTGGTATGGCTGCCTACCTTTGCCTTTGCCCTCCTTCCATGAGACCAAGTGCCAGTGCTGACTGGGTACTGGCACACTTCTCTGAAGCAGAATATTAGTTTGTTTTAAATGCTGCATTAACTTCAACTAGACCACTCCACGCATCTTCCATGCTCTGCCCTCAGGTGTTCCAGAGCTGTGGCAACCCCCGCCCAACTCCCGCCCGTTACCGACGTGCCCCCCGAGAAGAAACCAAGCGCCACTTTCAAACCTACGTGCCAGAGGAGAAGCCAACCACTGCAGGGGGGACCAACCTGGACCGGCTGGTAGGTGGCCATTCAGGAGCAGACAGACTGCAGACAGACTTCAGAGACAAGGCATAAATAATGGTGGTGCCCTTTTCCGTGGCTCTTTTGGAGGGCAAAGCAGCTCTCATGAGTTCTTTTACAGATGGGATGACTCACGGGCAAAGTTGCGAATAACCCTGTGCAGGGCGCCCGTATTTGAGGTACAGACAGACAACCCCCTTCTCTTTAAGGATGTTGTAAGAGCTTTAATTACTCAGCTAAAAATAAAATAAGCTTTTCCTTTCTTCCCCGAGTTTCAATCATGCAAGAGGAAATGTCTCTGATGTCAGCAATCCCTTTACTAAGATGTTTCACAGTGAAACACTGACTTGCACCAAGCAGGATTGGAACCATTTTTCAAGCATATTTGTACCCAGGCTTCGTCTTTCTCAAAATTAAGCTATGAATTAAGCACTCATGCGCAAGGGGTAAGAGGGGCACAAGTGACAAACTATATGGCATGACATCATGAGGCAAGTCCCACATTTACATACTTGTGTCAGGTGCCAGGACACAAGTAGGTAAGGGAGGGTTTGCATTGTGACGTTACCATATATGCGCATGTGTGGATGTCCTCATTCTGAGTCCCTTTTGGATGCTGGGTGTGCCTCTGCACACTGTTCTGGGTATGTCTATGGCCTGTCCAGCAGCCTCCTTCTCTCTTCCTCTGACTGCTGTAGCCTCTTCTGGGGTCTGGCAGAGTGAAGCTTTGGGCCCATGGGCCACGTTGTGTCCTTCCACCGGCTTTTGCCCTCACTGGCATGTTCCTATGCCCACCTCTGGCCTTGCTTCTCCTTTCTTCACCTCTGGATGGGTCACTTTGTGCCACCACTCTTGGGTCAGACGTCTTCAGCCAGCTGCACCTTCTGTGGTTAGCCCTCACCAGAAGGGCTTCCTGTCATGCCAGGCCTGCTTCTAATGCATCTGAGTGGTCTCCATCTTGGCCAGCTGGTATACTGCGTAAAACTGCTTAAAGCTCCTGCTTAAAGCTGAAGTGTTGAGTCTTGAAAAAGTTTACCAAATCCTCAGGAATACCCCCTCAACACTGAGAGAAAAATGAGCTAATTCCCATCCCAATCCATTAGTGACAGTGTTGGGTTTCAGCTGCTGGGGAAAAAACCCTAAATAAATGTCAAGAGGGAGATGGAAAAATGGAGATACCTGTCCTTCCTCCTGTCCTCTTGGCCTGCCTGTCCCTGGCAGATCTTTGGATGTGTTTGAGTGCTCTGACTGGTAAGAAAGCTATGCCAGGGGAAATAAATTGGTGACAGTGGCAAGGCAAAGGCCAGAAGGGACCCTTCCCGTGATGGAAGACCTTTGGCAGGATGTGGTGCTCCTTTAACTCCATTTCTCTCCCAAAGCCCAGTGGTATTGCTGGAAGATCCGCATGGCACTGTAATGTGTAGAAGATGGAAATGAAGTATAACCCACCCATTCTTCTGTCTGCTAATTATATTTCACTATTGCGACCCAGTATCAGTAGTTTCTCTCCCTGGAAGGGTGAGGGAAGGGCAGGTGGATGACCATCTTGGAAGGGAAGATGTTCTCAGCAGGAGATCTGAGAGGAAAGTTTTCTTACCACACAACCACCCTATTTCCCCCGCAGGTGCTGGATATGAAAGAAAAGCTACGTCTCATGAGGCGCTTCTGGATCCTGCTGCCTCATACTCTCTGCAGCAGTGAGAAGGCAACAGCTGACATTGCCAACGAGGACAGCTGCTGGAATGGTCAGGCACGGGGCAGGTGGGAGTCCCAAAGACATTTGACTTGGCCAGAAGTACACAGTGTTGAGAGAGAGAGGGTCTGGATTTGAAGTACGCCCAGAGCAGGAAAGCACCTTTGTCCACTGCCCCTTCCTGTATGGCAGTTCTTTTCTTAAAAGTCAGACTGGCTTGTGTGCGTGTGTGTGTGTGTGTGAGAGAGAGAGAGAGATTGCAGCTGAGAAAAGAAGCTTGAGGGAAATGTGAGCGCAGCTGTTCAGTACTCTTGGGCAAGAGGACAGTGCGCCTCTGGGGGTGCGCACAGAGTCCATGCTCTGCTGAATGGCTGGTCTTTCCCCAGGAAATCTGAAGCTGGAGGTGACTATCCCCTTTTGACCACTGTGTTCTTGCAATCAACCATCCAGGTATCTCCCAGATGTGACAGGTGATGGGCTGGTGAATCAAATCAACAACCCAGAAGTGGAGGTCGACATTTCACGGCCTGATCTTCTAACCCGGCAATGTGTCCTGGCTCTGCGCAGGGTGACCTCTCGCCTGGTGGGGGCATGCAGTGGGCAAGACCTTGACTTCCAGGATGCCGGTGAGGTTGCGGCTTCTTCTCCCGTGCTAAACCCTTCACTAGCACCATCCTGCCAGTCTGCAGTCATACGCCTTTATTTACTACATTTTTTACTTACTGCCAGCCTCCAAAGAACTCTCAGCAGGTTGCGTCCATAGCGGCAAAAAAACCCAAGCAATACAATCACTATGATACAGGACTGAAATAACAAATAAAACCAATGGCACATTATGTGCCTTTCAGCGATGGCACATAAGCAGGCAGTCACCCGCCTGCTGGCACTCTGCATCCAGTAGTGTAGCCGCCTTGCTTATCACGGCAGGGCAGGAGCTCCTGAGATCTCGGGAGGGTTCTGAGGGGGCTTCTTCTGGATCCTCCCAAAACGGCAGGGGGCAGCGGCATGGAGCACGCCCTCTGGGACAGGCAAATTCCCTGCGCGGAAGCCACGCCAGGGAGGGCTTTGTGGGGTAAGATCAGTGCCTCGAACTGGACCTGGAAACCCACTGGGAGCCAGAACCCGCTGAAATGGCATACTTTCTGGCCCTGCTGCACTTTCCGTGCGGAATGTGTTGCGGTGATTTGACTGCAAGGTGATGACGGCGTGAGTGGCAAGTTCCCCATTTCTGCCCAGGAAAGAGGCTCCACTGCACCGTCCTGAGTGGCTTTGCAGCCTCAGAGGCAGGGAGAGTGAGTGGGCGGGATGGTAAGAAATGGGGAGCCTCAGTCCTGCTGGTCTGCAGTGGGTGCGTGAGGGAGGAGCTTCGGGGCGTGCCTGCGAGGGCAGAGGCACAGGGCCTCTAGAGGCTGCCATCCATGGATGTGGCCTAGAGGGTGGTCCACCCGCCTGCTCGAGGTGACTCTTTTGCTGGGGAAGGCAGGCTCATTTGTGTCAACTCTGTCAAGGAATATTTGTCTGGCCTTTGTCCTCGGCCTTGCTGGCCAGTTGCTTCAGGTGACCGACAGACAGACAGTGCAGGAAAACCTTTGGGAACTCCCTGACCCCCATAATCAACGTTTCTCATCCTGCTTTCTGTTCCAGATGAGGATGGCATCAGTGGCTCGGGTGCTGGATATAACGAAGACCGGCCAGCCTCCCCAGGGTCAGGAGGCGTGGGGGCCGGAGGGGTCTCTGGGAGCTCACGGCCTTCCCCCGACTCTCGAGTCCCTCGAAGGGAGCGACCTGGGAAGGGTTCCTCCTCCCGGCAGAACCAAAGTGGGGGAAGGCTGAGCAGTGGGGCTGGGCCTTTTCCAACAGCAACCCTCCTGCTCACTCTCTTCTTGCAATTGGCCTTCCTTGGGGGCCGGTGAGGGTGACTTGTCCCCCAGTACCGAACCCTCTTCTCCTGGGATTCCTCTCCATGTGCCCCAGGGAATCTGAAGCTGGAGGTGAAGTGGGGGACACAGTTTTGTAGGGGTGAATAGCAGGAGCTAATAAAGCTGATCTTACTGGAGGGAGTGGAGGGGAAGGGAAGGGAAGGGAAGGGAAGGGA